GCACATTTGGTTACAATGCTTGTAATTGAGCTATAATTTATTACATTAGCATATAATAGCTCAGAAGTTTCTTCTTGTTTTCAATATTTTTCCAAGTCTATCTTGTATATTTACTATTAAAATACTATTAAATCTGAATGATTTTTCTAATTAGCCTAATGAAATGAAAAAAATACGAAAAATTAGAAAGCAGCTTGTAACAATAATAACAATATTTGTACTACTTATTTTTAAGATAATTGGATCTTTACCGTTATATTCTAATCAATAAAATCACGTTATTTTATAGATACATGTATAGTAATCAGTACAAATTTCAGCAGTGACTTAACTATTTGATGTAATTAAGCTGTTCGCATTTTATATCAATCTTGATAAAGATGATAATCTATCTGATAATGATAATATCAGCAGTGTTTGATAATACTGCAAATGATTATAGAGATTTTGAAATTGAAATATAACTATTTTTCTGTAATAAAATAAGTTTTAAAAAATAACTAATACATGTAAATATGAACACTTTTCTTGAAAGGATATTGATATAGAAATTGAAGATGACAATATAAATTCAATATTAGTACTAGAGCTAGAATCAGAAATAACAAAAGAAAAAATATATTTAATTGAAAATATGTCTAATCAAAATTTAATTCTTTGTGTTCTTTAAGATATAGTAAATAATCATATATAATATTATTTAAACAAAACAAAAAGACAAAGATCTTTAGCTTAATTAATTGAAACATGAAAAATAGATAAATATTAGAATTTATAGATCATTAAATTTTAAATATTTCAAAATCAGTAGAACTAGTATATAAAAGCAGCTTTTAGATTAAATTATATAAATAATACAAAAGTTCAAAATAAATTTTATGATGGACTGCAAAAATATCAACCAAATTGATAAAGTATTAGAAATAACAAACAATATAATTTGAAATTTTACTTGTAATACAGTAATTATAATACTAAGTGACCCACATTATATAATATTTTTTTATTCTAATACAATTGGCAAATCTTAGTACATGTACAAGTACGAACAGTTACCATATTTTGCGAAATAAAAGTCCAGAAGATATTATGCTTGGGACAATTTCTTACAGTAAAAATTGCTTGCCTTGCTACTCATTTTAATCTATTCAGTTTTCTTACAATTTGCAAAAGAATAATCATATTTCTCTTGTATATTTTGTACTTGTCCCAATAATTTCAATGCATCTTACTGAACATATTCTATTAAATTATTACAATTCTTATGTTGAAAATAAAAAGAAGTCAAAATGAAAATATATAAATAGATAAATAGTTAATTATAAACAATAAATAATGTGAACTTGCCATAATTCTTAATTGATAATTAAATCCGCTTATTGATTTATTTAAAATCAGAATATAATGAGTAACTAATACGTTCATTTTTCAATGTGATGAAAAAACAAAATATAAATTTATTCTGACACTACTTGAAATACTTTATAATCCGCAATATGAAAATTTTTATCTCCATAAGTGTTAACAAATCATGCTCGTAGGATAATTTCTTGCTCTAATTAAGAAGATTTAAAATTAAAATATGGACCAAGAAAAGCTAAAACAGTACCATCTCCAAAATTTGGCCCATTATTTTTGCTGCATACCACACTCCATCCTCCTATATATTTGCCTAGTACTCCATTAGTAGCTTGAATAACATCAGAATTAAATCTATACAGAAAGCTGTTTAACGATAAGTATTCTTTGTTAAGTGAATTCCATTCAAACGGATTATAACCACCAAGAATTTTTTTCTCATCTTTTACGCGAATGGCAACAACTGTAGGACCTTTATATCACACAGATGATGAAAGTTTTCATTCATAAATCCATCACGACTACCTCGCAGTAACAGCTTCAATTCAAATGATTTATTTTTCTTACTATCACCTTGCTCTTTAATCCAGTCAATTATATTAAACACATGATTCCGCAAAAGAATTGAAGAATCGAAAGTTATGACTTTTGCGAACCGTGTATAAGGTAACCTTATGATATGGTTTTGACTTCCTGGTACCGAATAATGATACAATAAATCTTATAAAGTGTTCCTGGCAAAGTTTCAGCATAGGGCATAATTTTTTCATAAAAATCAGTCGAATTGATATGGATGAAACGAAGCAACTTCAAACAATTTTTGAGCGTTCACTTAAGTTGTTTAAATTCGTTCTGTGTCCTTTTTTCCACTGGAATTGTTGTATCAATTTCACTAGCATCTGCAGTTTGAGAGATTCCCCATTCAAGCACTTTTTCCCAAAGGTCAGTTTCATTTGAATTTATATCATCACGTTTGAGTAAGCTAACTAGAGCTGATTCATGTAACTTGGAGAAATCAATTGATTGGAAAATGGCAGCTGGATTTTGACATGTGACATCCGTGCAAAATTTTTGAAGTTTGGTAAAAGAGATATGGTCAAATGCAATTTGATTCATTAAGGAAAAATTCTCTATCAAAAGTTCAAAATTGTATCCGAAAGACGAATTTGGATATATTCAATCAGATCTCAAGAATCAACTCATCAGCCGCAACCAATAAATCTAAAAGTGTCGAAACACTATGGTTTCGTAAATCAATTTTCCCACTGTAAATATATCTATTAAATTTTTAAACCAGATAAATTCTCGTTTATTTAGTATTCTTGTATTGCTTCATTTTTAACATGAATTACCTTAGCAATGTTTCAAAAATTTGAGGTTCAATATTCGGTTTCTTAAAAACAATCATTCTATTCGGTTCTCGCTTCACCCATGCATCAGAAGTGCTACCGCAAAATATTGCGACTGCGCCATCAATATCGCTGAGTGGGCTGAAAAAGTGTGTTGAGTATTCTGGTTTCCACTGACGATAATCGAAATGTCACAATAATCGGAATCTTCATAGAATTTATCGAGTTTGTTTCTCTGTACGTTTATATTACATGTACATGTACATGGATTTTATTGATACTGATGTTGCACACAAATAATTTACATGTACATGTATATGTATATGTACGTATACGTATAAGTATGTTCCACGCAAATAATTTGTGCTCTTTACACATACGTACACAATTGTGTTCAGCTGCAAGAATGACGTGTATAAAGTTCCTAGATAGAGCTTGCAAAAGATGTAATCATGCGAATTGTAGTTACGTAGTCTGGGAAATCTGAGACTTTAAAGATCAATATACATCAAACTAATTGAGATACTACCGCTACGTCCGTTTTAATTTTCATGTTAATCTTTGCCTTACCATCCTGTCATTTACGTAGTAATTGATTCTAAAATCTATTAATTAAGAAAATCGATACTTAAAATTGATTCTCTATCCCCAAATAGAGAGATAATAAAAACTAAACTCCGATAAAGTAAAGCAAAAAAAAAATATGTAATATATATTAGTATTTACTCGGAACTTCCATCATTAAAAAGGATAAGCAGCGAAAGAAAAAGTAAATAATCGTGAGATTACTTTTATCGGATGATGAGGTCGCGTAGAGATAATGACGCCAGAGTTACGAAAGAGAAAAAGTAATAAATAGGTTAATGAACATTCGAATATAAGACGCCAAAGTCAAAAGCTTAACCACAGTGAATATTTACACATGTATAGTATATTTTCAATTTTATTTCAGCCTATTTCTTTTAACATAAGTATATAGTTTGCAGATGGCTATTTTAGTTATTCGAAGAAAAGCAATTACAAATTAAAATATTACAGCAGAACTATTGTATAACAAACCTTTTTGTTAGTGTCAATGAAAATCTATTTAGAATATCTATTTACGAGTTCTTATTATCGTTATGTAGCTCAAATTCCAATCCAACAAAATACATGTACTTTATTTTATTAATAAAGCTACTATTATACTAATAGCAAATTACAGGCTATAATAATCCTCGATGGATAATCAAGTTCGTTTTTAAGAAATATAAGTCGAGGTTTTTATTTTAAATGAATGAGTAATTTAAGATAGATTCATTCTCTATGAAACAATTTGTAAACTAAATTTATTGATAAATGAAAATGTAAGCACACATTTATTTAGAATGCTTCATAATCCGTTATACCAAAATTTTTGTTTCATCAGAGCTCAACAGAAGGAGAACTTCTTAAGATAATTAGTAGAAGTACTAAAGTTTAAATTGGGGACCAAACAGAGTTAAATCTGTTCCCCTACAAAAACTGGACCATGAACTGTTACCGTTACATTTCGTCGTTGTTTATTATAAATTCATTGATGTCATCAGAATTAAATTAAGGTAAAAAGCTATTTAATATGTGTAGCCTCGGTTAAGTGGATTCCATTCAAATGGAGTATAACCACTAATAATCTTTTCTTCATCTTTGCGCAAATGGCAACAACGGTTGGACCTTTATTGTCAACAGGCGATGAAAGGCTTCATTCATAGACCCATCACGACTACCTCGCAGTAACAGCTTCAATTATTTTCTGATTATCTTCTTTTCTTTAATTCAGCAAATTATTTTAGGGATCCTATTCAACGAAAGAATTGAAGTGCAAAATGGGTGCAAAGTAGCCTTATCTTTTCACTTCCTGGCACCAAACGATGATTTCACTTGTCGTTGTTGAAAATCGTCGAAAGTATTGTGGGATCCACGAAATAATGTATGAGCATTTAAATTAACGTTAATGACAACAGAATTAAAAGTGCAATTCAAAATTAATACTAGAAACCATGAAAGAAAAACTAATTAAAGTAATAAAAAAATCGCTAGTACTAGTGTTCATACATTAATTTTATTTATCCAAATATCATGGCGAATATTTATACATAAGATTGCGCAGAAATCTTAAAAATTTTATTTCGTGCTTTTCTTTTAGAATGAGAATATAATTAGAAGAGAAAAAAATTTACAAATTAAAATTTTACAGTAAAGTCTTTACAATGAAAACTTTTTTTTAGCGAAAAACTATTTTAAAAAATGTCTATTACGCATCCTTTATATAACTTATTTTTGATGAAGTTTCGGAATACTCGATTTCGAATTTTTTAATAATGCATTTTTCTCGCCTTTCTTGTGATTGAATCTATATCAAATGAAAATTTTTTAGAAATCAAGTCAAGTAAATATATTTAGAGAATAGTTCTTAAAGAACAACTTACTTTGAAGGCAACTTCCTCGATAAGTCAAGAGTTTTAACTTGTCCATTTCTTTTCATCGGAGGCATTGGAGATTGCAATTTTAGCAATTCACGAGACGTCTTTGGTAAAACCTGGCAAAGTAATAAACACTGTAAATTATTAATATTTATATATCTAGATTAGATCGAAGATAACTTTCAAAACTAACATTATTTTTTGATGATGAAATCCTCTTATTTACGTTTGCTTGACGTGATTTTAATGTTTCATTTTTTCCAATACTTTGTTTCGTAGATTGACGTGATTTTAATGTTTCATTTTTTTTTCCAATACTTTGTTTCGTAGATTTTGAATTCAACTTTTTAATCTTGAGCGATTTAGAGTTGGAAGCCGAAACATGTAATTCGTCTAGTTTATTCGTTTTCGGAGGTAAAAGCTCTCCTAATCCGATGCGAAATTCATACGGAATTTTTTCAATAGTCTTTAGTTTCAAATATCTGGCAGGTTTCTTTTCTTCAAGGCCCAAATATCCATCATATGGAATATCTGATTTGTCATAGTCATCAACGGAAGTATTTAGATTCATGTCGCTAGATTCTAATTTCGTTTCTACTTTGTAAGAGACAGATTGAGGGTTTGGTGGAAACCATTCATCTAATGATTCTTTAGAAATTTTAGATTTTTCAATTTCAATCTTTTTTTCGAGAAAACTGAGAATCGGCGAAGTCTTGTTAGAACGAGAGATGAGACCCATGTAGAATGGGTATGTGGTTGTAGAGGTGCTGATATTGGATTGATGAGAAGACATTTTTTGAAGAAATTGCGATTGATATATGAATGTGAAGATTTATTCTTTGCTAAAAAAAAAAAAGTAAATTTGTTGTCGTTGAAATGTTCAAGTCAGAATTTTAATGATTTTGTGAGAGAACCAAAGTATTTATACATTATTTAGCTTTACAGTTAAAAAGCAATTAATGAAAGTTTGTTTCTTCGTCTTTTGTTGAAGTAATCAAAAAAATTATAGTACGTTACTAATCTAATCAAAAAAAGCAGCTTTTGTCTAAATGCCATTCTAAACTCGTCAAAAAGCAAATTTTTTCCAAAACTCACTTCTTATTATTATGTGTGATTGCAGTTCTAAACTCATCAAATGTTTTTATAAGCTAATTCTTAAAAACATGCAAGATTTTAAGATTTAAAGTTGGTCCTGCATTCGACCTTAGATCGTTAATTGTTCGTAAGCATCATCGGATCATCATTTTAAATACTGTATGTTATTTGACTGATCATGAACAAATATCTTTTTTTAAGTCTTGTAACTATGGCTTATAAAATGTGGTTTAAATACGGTATCAACCGACTAAGGTTATTTTCGACGGAGGAGATTTGAAAAGTCGATCAAGAAGAAAGTAGGCAAGTTAAAAGATGTGAACGCGGAAGAGATTAAACTCAGAAGACACGGCGTGGACGTGGACCTGGAGCCCTCGTAAATAGCGATGACACACCGTTACAAGTGATCGCCCGTGGTAAGTAACGTATTTACGTCGCGGCATTAGGATTTAAAGCAATTTAGTTTCTATCTGTCCATTTGAGGATGTTTGGTATGCTGTTTACTAATTGTGCTTTTCTTTTATATCATGGACTTGAATAACTTGTTCTGCCTAATTGGCATGTTAAAAAATTGTTTATTGTTGTTTCTAGTCAAAAAGATGCAGATGAAAATTGATTTCCTTTTTTTTTCTGTTCTCTTTATATTTACCAATTATCTTTCTATATCTTATAGCGGCTTCTGCAACTCCAAATTGTAAGCTCACGTCATGTTTGCTTTTTTAACATGAACATTTTTTCGAGTTTGAACCTTGGTACCTGTAGTTGAAGAAATTATCCAAGCTTTCCTGGCAAAGCAAAGACCGACTATACCTTACTTGTTTGCAGAAGGACAGCAAGGATTGGTAGCCAACACTTTAAATGTGCACTGTCAGTTATGGTCAAATTTGTAGTGAACATCACTTTTACAAACCTGACAAGATTTCAGGAAAGGCCAGGTTTGGGTTAGAAACATCCAACCTCATTAAAGAACAATGGTCACATAGATTTCCGAGTAAATTGATCCACATGTCCTATACATCGTCTTGGATTTTGGTAATGGCGTGCAACTGGGCAATTTTGACAATGGAGCAGAGAATCTTTATTCGTGACAAAAGCAATACGAGCTTCCTCAGATTCTTGCTTCGTTGTCATAAACAATACTGCGCCACAATGACAATTTTTTATTCTAGATCTTAAACATCTGACCAATCAGAATTCTTTATTTATAATATTATATCAGTGAAAAATTTTAAAATATTATAACTTTTAAAAATAAAACAAACTAAAAAATCCTCTTACAGAATTACAGTTTTATTAATCTGTAAGAGGGATTTTTTTATATGATGTTTAATCATAAAGTTATAAATTAAAAGTGGACATCCTAGGAAAGAATACCCGACTATGGCGATCGGAAATTTAATGTGGAATTCGCAAGCAATGGCACTTTCTTTTAAACAGCATCTTTTTTTATTTTTTTCATATCGACGAGTTTCAGAAAATCTTTGATTTTGAAGAAAAGGGCTTTTTAAGAAGTTCTCGGAAGTCTTATCACGTCGAAATCGTCGCTAACTAACATTCACCCAAACCAGAACTGCACCTAATGATATAATAAAACCAAGGAACCGACTAGTTACAGTTTCCATTCACTGGAATATCCGACTTTGTCTTGGAATGCCATTGTCCAGATTGTTGATAAATTAGCAGGGCAGTATGCAGCTTACATTCACAACACCAAAGCTGACTGGAAACGGGACAGACTATTATTCAAGATACTGAGAGCCTTACAATTCGTTTTCGATGGACGCCTAGGAAACAGACATGGGCATTGTGCCTTTTCGACGATTTAACAACCGCTTTAAAAACTAAACAAGATCGCATAGCTTATCACTCAATTTTCTTTGGAGCAGTAGATGATATCAATCAGAGATACGAAATCGTGAATTTTCGACAGAGATGTTGCTTTGGAAATTCTGTATCACGCAAATAGTCTTTGTCGAACTAAAGCGTATGTCATTGAGATGCCAGTTATGTTCATTTGCATGTACAATGTTTATTTGCGAGTAGTCAATAACTATCTGGAAATACCATATCTTAACAGCGAAACAAATTGTACTTTGATTAGCTGAAATTATATTTTGATTAGTTGAAATTCTACTTTGAATTCGTAGAGTGGTAAAGGTACCATAGAGATTCTGTAACTTTTGATTACTCTTTGTTGTTCATAAATATCATTCAAGTTTGATTCAATATTTATTAGTATCATTATCATAGTTATTAAACTCTATATTTGCAATAGTTTTTTTAGCCATTATCAATATCAACACTTTTGTTGAATGACAGAGTAGTTTGTCGTGTGCGAGAACTAGTTGTAACATGATTTTCCAATATTTTCATTTTTTTGATAATTTCATTACATGATTTATGCATTAATCGATTTCTTCGATTCTACAAAATTAATCGATCCTAGATAATCGATTCCTATCCCTAGTTTGGAGTTGGACATTCAGAAAAACTGTTTATTAATTTGCAAAGAAAACCTTCACAAATACTATGGTCGCACATTGGCAGGCAGGTAGAGCAAGCTTGTCAATGGCATCATTGATCAACCCAAACTTTTCTGATCCGAAACTATTTAAAGCAGCTTGCCTAATGTTGGTGACGCGATTTCTAAAGTATCCCTCTAAGCACCCTTTTCGGAATACTGACGAGTTTTTGAAAATGTTTCCTCCTTTGAAAAAATATACTTGTGTTAGAAAATATGCTTAGTTTCTTCCCATATACTGAGTGGAAACTTTTTATTTGAATAAAACAATAAAAGGTTGATCAGCATTTGAAAATATAAAAAAATAAGATGTTAAATAAGTATAGAGAAGTGCGTGAAAAAATAAATCAAAAGCTATAGTAAAAGATAAAGTGAATGTAATGCTTCCTGGTAATTATAATCTGTTTCTATTTTGATTTTTGAATTTGGTTACTTATTTTTCAGTAATTTCTTTAATATTCATCAAGTCATTCAGCATTATATATATATTAAATGATATTTCACATAGAATTATTTATATACCGATTGGCTTATATAATATTTAAATCTAAACCCAGATGTTAATTTATCAAAAAATTAAAATGAATTTTCATTTGTATTATAATAAAAAAAATTTTATTGTGAATTTTGCAATAAATTATGTTTTTAATTTTTTATAGGTCAAATGCCTTATGATCATCACTCACGGAAAGATGAAATTGGGTGACTATAGAGGGGTATGAAAAATATATTTTAACTATAGTTACTTGATACATGTAATTAGAAAAGTCAAATTTGGTACTATAAAGAGGTACAACTATAAATGGTGTGGCAATAGAGGGGTTTGATTGTAAAATTAAAATAATTATTTCATAGTATAGTTATAGTATAAAAAACTTAACTTAAATTATGAATTGTAAATTATAAAAAACTGCATCAACCGAGAGATTAGTATTATGAAATCTTAAATGTACTGGCAGATCACGAATTATGAACCAATGCTGTTAGTGTTTTGTATTGGAATTATAAAATTGAGACATATAATGCTAAGATAGTACATTTACTAATCATGTGATTTTTAATTTATCAATAATGGTACATAATGCCAAAATAGTACCTGTAATTCATAATTTATCAATACATTCAAGATTGAGACGTATAGTACCGTAATTTGCCATTTAGAATACCCTCCTATAACATCATACCTCCCATGAATTGTACCAGGTCTAATTCATAGGTTTAATATTGGTAAAATGTATTATATCTGGATACATTATAAATTTTAACTTTGTATCCTCCTAACAATATACCCGGGTATATTATTTTATATCTTAATAATATACCCAAGTCTAATTCCATACATTTGTAAAATTAACTGTTTCGATATCATAATACTTATCTTCAAAACTATCAATTGAATGACTTTGTGATATTGTATTATTACCTTCAATTGTTTCAACAAAGTCATTCAAATTACCTCGAGTTAAATCAATACCTGAATTAATATCTTCGTTTCCCAAATCGTTTTCCAAATTATTATCTTCATTTTCTGAATTATCATCTTCATTTTCAATTATAGGATTTTGATCAAATCTTTGAGGTTGTTCAACCCAACCATAATTAAAAATACAATTATCTTCAGTTCCATCACGGGCATTAGAGATGCCACAACATTTGAATGAGCGCTTAATAAGGTAAGTATCAACTTGGTCCCATGCAATTTTTACCCATTCGGCAACAATACTGTAACTTGGACGTTGTATGTGGCGAGAAGGTGTCAATTTTTTTGTTTCTTCTGCCATCCAATTATTATATAATTGGCGATACTATAATAAATAAATATGTAAGTTAATACATCAAATAAATAATACAAAATTATTTAATCTTACCTTTGATTTAAATAATTTGTTTATATATACATCTAATGATTGAAGTTTGCTGGTCAATCCACCCAGAATTACAGCCATGTTTGTATTTTTTTCTTTGAATCGATCTTTGACAGGATCAGTCAAATGACCACGAAAAGAATTCAAAATCAACAAGAAGCATGAATTGTTTAATAATGGTGCACGTTGACTTCACACATTTTCAATCCACCAAATCATTTCATCACTATTCATATACCCTTCTCGATTGATATGAATTATTACTCCAGCTGGAAACTTTTGGCGTGGAACATTGATCAATTTAAAAATCAATACTGGAGGTAACTTTTTGCCATCAGCCATACATGCTAATACAACAGTGAGATTGAATTTTTCGTGTCCTGTTGTCCGAATGCTAACAGTGCTTGCTCCAGTTTCTTCAATAGTTGTATTATTAGGAACATCAAAGATAAGTGGTGTTTCGTCCATATTTCCAATTAGTGCCAAGGGATAATTATGTTGAATGCGCTGATATAACACAAAACTTAAAAACTGATGTTGCGTTGACTCTAACTCGCTTGGTAGTTTTTGCGAAACTGTAGTACGACACCGAATGCTCAGATGGTAGCAGTTCATAAATCCATCCAATCACTTATCACTCCATTTACAATCACCAATATTTGGATAAATTGCAAGAAAGCGTGGTCTTTCCGCCAAAGATTTCACCTTAGAACGAACCATAAAACGTGATACAACCTTTTGTTCTCAGCGTAAGGTTCTCACCCAAATAACAAGATCATCTTCTAATGCTAGATATCGGGGCCTCGCACCAGGAGTAAGTCATTTCATTTGAGGTCTTGAACGCTTCAATTCTTCGTGTTTATATATCCAGCCTCGGATTTGTTTAGGCTGAATATCAAACTGCGTTTTTTGGTTTTAACATTTGTCGCGCGAGTAAAATTTTTGGTATAACGTACCATTTTTCTATTATACTTTCTGTTAGACCGGCGATTAAAAACTTAATTTTAATTTAATACAAATGATACTTTACCAATATTATAAACTGAAGAATTGTTACGCATTCAGGAAAAGAGAAAAATCAAAGAAGTTTACGCGTTTGGAAAAAAGGAAAGATCGATCGGCATATTGGAAAAATTTAACGCGTATTGCATTAGATACTCTATAAGATACTCACCATGAATTGTACCCCCTCAATATCATATCCCCCGAACACAAACCCCCCACTTTAGAGTACCCACTGCTGGACAACGTACTCCCCGGGTACAAATCAAGTTTCAGCCCGTGGAATGGAACATACCCGGGGTATTCTAAACGGCAAATTACGGTACATGTACTGAAATGATATTCATGATTTGATTTTGATAATCGGAATAACAGGGAATAAGAAAGATAGCAATTATTCAAGAGTAAATCATTACTGAAGATGAACATCAAACTTTCTTCTATCGGCATGGAGAAAATGCTTGGATGGATGCAAAATCATATGCTTGATAATTTATTTATTTTCTTAACGGTGGCGGCAAAAACCAATATTTGTTTCATTGGCTAATAAATGCATATCATCTTCCAATATATCGATATATAGTAACTGATCATTAATTTTAGCTAATGAAAACAAAGGTTGGTTTCATAGTAATTATGCACCAATTTCAAAGTTTAAGTACATTCAGAACTCCCTAAATGTAAGTCATCGGGAGACTTAGAAGAAATCAGACATAACGTGAATTTAGAGAAAAATTGCATTTATAGAGTGTAAATTACTTAAAGCTCCAGATACTTGGGACTAAATCAGAGCGTACATTTATGGAGGTTAACATAGTGCGGCATTTAGGGAGGGTGCATGTATAGAGGTCTGAATGCAAAATTCTGTGCAACATGTAGTTTTTATACATGTATTTTGCTCATTTTTAATTGCCATATGTTGCCGTGTACATGTATAAACAACTGGTGACAAATGAGCGTTTACATGTATGTACATGTACATGTACGTAATACGTAAAATACATGTGATAAATTTAAATAATTACTAATCGTTCACGTTTAGAAGTTCTAATTAATACATGTATGGTGCATATCGATATCATCTAAAATCATCAAACGTTTGTATTTTATAAATTGATAAAATTCTTTACTAAGAAGTAAATACAAAATTAATCCGTGAATATGTTAAATTTTTTATTTACTTAGTAAAGAAGTTATCCATTTAAAAATACAAACGTTTGATGACTTTAGATGTTATGCACAATTTAACTACCAAGGTACGGATCAAAATGTTTTATAGCAGTGTTTATTTAGATATAAAAAAATTTAAAATCGAAAAGAACAGAGCGAACTGAACGACCAGAATGAACAGAGCGAACAGAACGAACAGACGAATAAAGCGAACAGAAACGAAGAGAGCGAATAAGAGCACGTAAGAGCTAGTGGAATACATGTTTGGATAGATTATGAATGGAGAAGCTGAAAGGGAGGATAAATACCAACAAAAGTAATTATAATTATCTAACATATAAATTAATTCTATATTATATAACACTAAAATGAAATGTATGGTGAAGTTATCATATAATAAATGTTCAAAAATATATCTTCTATTGTAATAAATAGTTATGAAAGCAGTATTAGTGATGATGGATTTTTTAGTAATGAATACATAGGGTTATTAATTAATTATGCAATATTCTCTATTTTTGATTTCATAACTTTCTATTCCTCGCAAGAAATAAGTTCGTCAAAAAGAGTTTCATACATGTCATCGTTGTTATCGTCTTGATGGATATAAGTAGTTTGGTTTATATTAATAAATTTTTGATACTTAGGATCTTTTACACTTTTTGACTTATATTTCTTATATTTATAACCAGGGAATATACGTTTATGATTCTCACGTGCTATTTTTTCCAATACTCTGAAAAAATGCTTGACCTCACTTGTTTGCAATTTCCATTTTAAACTACATTCTCTTGCTGTATCCTTAATTTTTTTCTTAACATTAGGGTCACGTAAACGTATATTAGCTTCACAGTCTTTTCGAAATATAATCCAATGGTTTTGTGGTCGCGGCGTTTTATTAGGATTTTTATTTGAGGGCATTGTTAATTTTTCAATTGGGAGGGTAAGATCATAAGAACATTCATTAAGAAGTTTTCTTTCAGTTTCGGATAAATATAAATACTTGGCCATTTTTGCTAGGAGTTAATACTGGTGGGTGATTATAAATGATTATTGATTATATCTAACCAGTGGTAAAAGAAAAGGTCCTTTCTAATTTATACAAAATTGCACAGCGTGTAAAAATTTTAAGACGTAGTGTAAGAATAACAATTTCCTTGTATTTATAATTTTTGGTTACGACGGTATATACACAATAGCCTCGTAAAAATGCCTTTGATATTTGCCTTACTATGGAGTTATCATTATGGCCAAACGTAATGGCCGAAGCGTGATTTAATTTCCTTGGACGGCGCAGAATGCGCAGAATCAAGCCGTAATTCAAAAGGCCGAGCAAAAATGCGAATTAGGATTTAACCAATTATATTTCTTTTATTTCATGAAATTCGCATGCAACTGCCAACCTAAATAATTATATGTGCATCCGTTACTCCTCAATTTTGAAATTTTAAGCGCCACCTAAATAAAAACGTGATATAGAGAAAAAACTTTAGAAACCATATTAGCAAAATGGCTGTGTTAATATCTCGTGGTTTATCAACACACAATAAAAAGCAAAAACCAAGAAATGGACACTATACTCGATCTAATTGGCGGGCAATCACAAAAGCCCGATCCGAACATTGCGAAAAGCAAACGTTAAACTGTAAGAAATATTTTCGAGATAACTCGAAAACGTTGATCAACAACTCGCTAAATTGGCGATAGGTAATCGTTGAAAGACGCCGATTTCGAAATATGCGATACTTGAAATAAGGATTTTGATTTCTCTAAAAATTTACAGTGACTCGCGTTAGGCCGGATTTATCCTACTGTGAAGGAAAAACTCCTAGTTAACTGAATTGAATTTAACGAGTCACCGTGTATTTGACATAATAAGATAAATCAAAACACACGTATTCATGAAATTTAGTTTTTATTGTTAATGATCTCTTTCTAGTTTACTTAAATATTGTACGTACATGTACATGCATATATAAAATAAAGTTTACCTATGAATGATACCGATACAAAAACGAGATATCCATTTTTATACACACGAAGATCGTTCATTGTTGTGATTTACTAATGGAGCTGTTAACGTTAATACCGATTTACGAACATGTACATGTATTATGTATGCATGACGATAAAATATTGATGCAAATCGATATCGATATCGATATCAAAATACGTACAGCCCGGTACTGTTTAAAAAATAACAACAAGGTAATATACAGTCAGGGCTCTTAAACGATCCATTTTTATATACTTCCCGATATATAGTATAAGGAGCACATTAATCAAAGTCCAAAATCAATTCATTTACGTATACATGTATCATGTTCATGCATTTCAGGTTACATATGATATCAATTTAATGATTGAAAGAGTCGTGTGACAATTTAATAGTATATTCTACATACATAACTGACGCATACGAAGTAGTATATAATTCTTGTTTTAAAGTTGAATAGCACCGGCACCATTCACGGTTTTAGCATTGGTGAAGGGGGTACTTAAGTGGGAGGATACATGTGAATCAACTTGCTACTTTTCATTTAATTACCATTACTATCACTGTACAAAGTTAAGGATCTACCAAAAATACAGTTCTGCAAACCAGATAAAATTTTCAATTGTTTTTTGAGTAAAATTTTATAAGCAAAATCGTATTTAGTTTAGCTCCAGTTTACAAGCTATTGTATTTTGAACAAAAGTATCCGCATTATTTAAACTAGTATAAAAAGCAAATTAAAGTGGACGCTACAGATCTGCAAAAATGATAGAACTTTTTAATATTATTTATTTTTACCTCGAACATTTAATTATATTTTTTGCCAATTAGAGAATTCTTTTTTTACTAATTTATTGATTCCGTTTTCTCATGTGATGGTAATTAGAGACTAAGACCAGGTTCAGTTCGTAGGACGAAATTTTTCATACAGAGCAGAGTCACCCGAAGCTAATTATAGGACATAAAACTTTGTTCGATTGATTTAGTGGTATCAAAGGAATTCTATAGTTTGACATAAAGGATCAATCTAATTGTAACAACTGTTACATGTACAACTTCAATCTAGCCAATCACATATCCAACCCTAACTTTGATCCTAATTAGCCAATTAAAACGCGGTTGTTCATTTGCATATATTTCATCCGGATTTGTGGCAATTTTGCTTAGCAAAATTTAACCCGAATTCACCCGAATATCCGAGTTCAAAAGAACACAGATATTTGGTAAAATTTTTAGTGACAGTTCCAATCCCTAATAGTAATATTTTTATATTTTATTCTAATCAGAAGTGTTAATATATCGATGAGAACTTCAATATCCAGAAGTGAGAATTTTGCATCATAATATTTTGAGCACATTTCGTCCAGAGTTAATCACCAATTATTAATATCGATATAGCGCTATATACAGTCCCCCGTCATAAGTAACTGACCCTTGATAACTTTCCGAAAATTATGTATAATGCTCTGAAAAGATGAATTCGTGCATGATCAATTTATCCCAAAAATCAAGAAGAATTGATGAATGCACTTGCAGAGGAATGGGAAAAAATTGAACTGGAAATTTTAAAAATTTTGCTGAAAGTATGCAGAGAAGAGTGCAAGCTGTAATTGATACAAATGGGCATCAATCTGATATTAATATATATGTATATGAATAGTCCTACTTTTGCCAAATAAAATAATATATTTTTATTGTAGTTTATTTAAAGAAAAGTCAAGTAATATTATTAAAAGTCATCCAATTTCAAACTTTTATTTACTGAGTGTAAATATTTTATAATATATTATATAAATAAATACATAGTTTTATTAATTATCAAATAAATATGGTATTGAAATATTTAATATACTAATTAACATGGCACTTTTTTAACTTTTCAGGATATCTGAAGTGTCAATGAATATAAAATTTAATAATTTTTGTACTATAAATAGATTTTTGGCTAACTCTGGATATCGTTTTAGAATATTTTAATAACACTATGAGAGAATAAATTTACTTCTCACTTTGGATCACTTTCTGATATTCTGTCATATATTAATTTTATATTTATAATTTAAAAATAAAAATTCTGAAAGTACTTAAATGTTATTAATATTTTTCACAATATAACAACATAAAAATTTTTTGAAACTTTCTATAATATTTTAATAATATCCCACAAGATATATGGAATGTACTAAATAATTATCAAAATTTATTATTAATTTTGATAGCATTTTTACATTTTCTAATATAGTTGAAATATTATTTAAATATAAAATATTATAAGAAGATATACAGATTTTTTGTAAAAATTTTTGATATCCAAAGTATTATAAGAATATCTTTTCTCAAAATATTGTAAGTTTATATAAAAAATTTTATTATAATTAATTTGCTAATAAATAATGTAGTATTTTTAAAAAGCAGAATGAATCTATTATTATTTTTTCTTTAGAATATTTGTATATCTAAAGTTTTCTAATATAATTATTTTATAACAAATTTTATAATAAAAATTTATAATTTCTATATTAAAAAATAATTTTCATTTACTCTTGTATTTTTTTGTATTATATTTATGTTATATTTATCATTTTTCATATAATATATAAGAAATTAATACAGATTTATATTTATTACTTCTTAATATTTTATCAAATAGATTAGATATAAAATATATATTACATTATTAATTTAGATATACATTATTTTTAATTCTTTTTATTTTTATTTATTTTTTTATTTCATATTTATTATTTTTAATTTTATATTAATTATTTTTATTAATATTTATATTTTATACCTTTAAGATTAATAATTACTCTTATTTATTATTAATTTATTTGTAATTCATAAATTAATAATTATATATTTAAATATCTCTGTTCTGTACTATAGCTCTTTAGATCTTTTCACTATTTAATAAATAAAGAATAAGTTTTATTAAAATTAAAATTAAAACTAAAAACTATCTAAATTGATATAATTTATTTATATTAATTAATAAATTTATCTTAATTTTATTCATATAATAAAGTATTCTTATATTATTATTATATTAAAACTTCAAATTATACAAGCTTATTGCTATAGATTTGATAAAAATATATTTTAAATTTTATAAAAATTAAATTAATAGTTATTGTAAAATTAAGTCTTAAAATTTAACATTAAATTATTTACTATATATATTTAATATTAATTTTAATCAAATTTTATATAGTAAAACTTATAAAATAAAAATTCAAAAAAGTTATTACTAGTAAAAATTTTTTTATAAAATATATATAATTAAAATATATATATTAAAATAAATTTTAATATTTAATGACTTAATTAAATTAAATAAAATTAAAATTTTATTTTAAAAAAATAATTTATTAATAATTATTTGAGATATGAATCTTTTTGTACCGGATTATATTATTATTTAATTAAATTAATTGCTTTTAACCAATAAATTACATTTATTATTATATACAAAACTGTCATTTATTTTTTAACTAAAGAATCTGTATTAGAATTTAGACTTAATTAAAAGAATAAAAATATTTTAAAATTATTTAAATTTATATAAATAAATTATTTTTCTTATAAAAATACATTAAACATAAATTGATTCTCTAAAATAATTTGTTGTTATATTGTTTTAATTAGATTTTAATAGGTTTTTATTATAATGAAATTTTGTATTATCAAAAATAATTATGTTATTTTTGTCAGAATTGAAGTCTGAGTTAAACGAAAATCATTTAGAATCATATTTAGAATAATACTAACTATTTGTGAGAGCACAAAATCAGAAAAACAGGTTTTGATACAACTATGGTGCATAACATTTAAAGTCATCAAAAATTTGTGTTTTATAAAATGTATAAACATCTTTACTAAGAAGTAAATACAAAATTTAATCCATGAATATTCTCAGAAAGTGCCTATTCTACCATATTCACGGATTAAATTTTGCATTTACTTCTTTGTAAAGAAGTTTATACATTTTGTAAAATACAAACGTTTGATGACTTTAGATGTTATGCACCATACCCTTCATTATATTATTAGCTAATATTCAACAACCAATATTCCATTTAATGATAATGCTAGTAAGATTGTTTAATGGTTATCTTATGTAAAAGCACAATTATTGTAAGCATGCATATTAGCCATTGCATATTCATACATTAAGGGGTAGCATAAACTGACATCCCTGAACAATATTTTAAATTATAACTAGTCATTCAATTTCCATTAAGCAAAAAAATTGTTCTAGTCAAAATGTTCTTTTGTTCTTTTTTGTTATAATTTAAAGTATCGTTCAGGCATATCAGTTTATGCTTTCCCGTACTGTAGCACTGTGCAAAATTTGTTCAACTTTTGCACTTTTATTAACTATTCTGAGCTATAATTCGCTAACATATTGACAATAAATATACTGCGCACAATTTCTTCCATGTGCTGCTTCCTATAACCAAGATAAATAATACACTGTTGGCTAAAATAGTAAACATAAATATATTGCTAGACTTTAGAATAGTTTTTTTTTATGATTAATTTAGAGAACGCCATAAAGCTGGAACTGAGACATGTTTTCCCGTTTCAACCAAAAGTTCATCTAGATACCAGTCGAATTTTTCCTTAACCAGATTTTTAAGAATAATTAATTATTCATGTGCGAACAATTTTTGTTTACCTGGTGGAGTCTTGAAAAGATTAACTACATGTTCCCATTTATTAAAGGTTTTAAGAATCGCAGCAATGTCATGATTTGCTATCCACCAACGCAAATTCTCACTCAGTTCCCTAAAGCAATATGTGAAAGTTACTTTAATCTCCGGGAAGCGCTTTAACAAACCTGTCAAAAAGTAAATATACAAACAATAGGAAGAGTTCACATAACATGACGAAATAATGTGATAATCGATAAAGTATCACAAATTCACCAATTGGACCATCCAAAAAGTAACGGTAACGCCCAATTTAAAATTTTTTGTTGATTTTATAATTAAAGCAGCTCTTTAATTTAAAAGTGCATAATTCTTGTTCATATTGCAAAATTACAATGGAGTAGCTTTAAAATATATAGAATTTAGAAATAATTACTAACAGAAATATATATAACTTGATATTTTCAATTTTCATATATAGAGCGTGAGAAATTTTTTTACTTTCAATCAAAACAGTCCTTGCATTTTAAGTTGACACAGGTCTTGTATCATTTTTTTAAAAATAAAATCAATTAGCTTTAAAATGAAAGAATGATTAGCAAAAATTTAGATATATACACAGCTTGAAAATTTCCATTTTTATGTTTTATTATATAATTTAGGACTGGGCGTTACTTTTTGGATTATTGTATATGTATTTTGAAAACAAAGATAATCCATTTGAAAATTTAATTGAATTAGAATACAAAAATCTTATGCTTACACTTAGATCATTTTGTTGACTTACTACTGTACTTTATTTACATTCGATTTAGTATAACACTAAAAATTTTTGTCAAAGATGATAAATCTATTTTAATTCGTAAGAATATTGTATCTGAGTCAGAATAAATTTGCCTGCAAAATTATAATCTTAGTTCTTAAAATTTATCTAAAAATTTTGTTTTGGATAAAACATGGAATGTGATCTTCAATGTTTTTATTCATTTGTAATATTACTAACGTTAAGTTGCGCAACTCATGATCTAGAAATCACTCACTTCTTGAATGCACAAATCTTGAACATTGAACAGCTTTTCCAGTATTGTGAAATCAGTGCTGAAGACTAAGACAATATTTTATTTTTGTATGTTAAAAAAATATCAATCTTACGAGTTGCAAAAAGAATAGTCGATTATTTCATAGTATTTATGTAAAGATGGTTTTTGTTAATAAATTATGAAGTTTGAATAAGCGGATTTCAGTTTAAATATTTACTAATTGACTTTATCTATTGAATATGCAAAGTTGATATACAAAAATATGTAAAAAATATGTAAAAACTATTAAAGGAAAAAATTCGAATTTGCGAAAATTAAACGCAAAAAAATTTAAAAATGCGAATATATTTTTTTCAAAATCAAACGATTCAACCAGCTCTCCTGCTCGATCATGACCATTTTGATACGCTTTTTGGTACCATTTTAATGTCATGTCAAGGTTTACTGGAATTCCGAATCCGTATTGATAACATTCAGCCAATTTGAATTGAGAGCTATTCAACCCAGTTTCAGCAGATCTTAAATACCATTCAAATGC